GTCTGGCAATAATATTTCATGGTCGCAAAACAAAACCGTGTGTGAGGTGATGATGTATACTTGTCTGTGTAACTGTATATGTTTTTACATATTCTACTTACCTATTATTATACAAAAATTTCGATGTCACCAACCACCTTTTTTTCTCTTTTTTTTTACTTATATTCCCCTATTTTCCTGCATTATTCAATCTGGAAAATTTTCTCTCGTCATTTTGCAAATGTCTCCATCGCCCTTACCTTCCCCTAACGAAAATTAGAAAAAAAAATTAATTTCCACAACAATAGATATTATTCCTATACCATAGTCTACCCTTCAACTCCGAAGCCATTTTCTACCCCTTCCCCTCCGGCAGAATTTAACCCTCGGGAAAAAATAATTATTTATTATTACATTCAGCTTTGGGAAATATCTTCTACCCCGCCAGGCAATTTTCTATTTATTTTACGTTTAGCCTTCTGTTTACTCTTTTACTTATTGGTTAAAAGCATTATTGTTTTTATCAGTAACAATACATATCGTTCAATTGTAGGCGTTTTTTTTTTAAGAGTTTTGTTGCCAATATTAAAATTATCATCGATTTCGTCCCTGCATGTATTACTCCGAACTCCCCTTCCCCCTATCCCCTACCCATTCCCCACTTACACTAATTTGCATATCAATAGTTTCATACAAGCTAACGATCACATCACTTGCGCAAACGAAGTATATCATAATGGCTGTCATAACATACGATAAACAACTTCCAAATTAGTGTACAGGAAATGGATAACGAATAACTTCCGAATTATTGCCCAGGAAATGCATACTGTTGAATAACCCAATAGACACGGGCGCACTTGACTATAAACTAGTTGTAAATTGTGCCGTTCTCTTAATAACATTCACCGTACGTAATGCAGAACGATATGTGAAATTCACTTATACTGATCTACGTTTCTAGTTTTACTGAAACATTTTTCATTTTCTTTTTTTTCTTTTTTTTTCGAAACCCGGCCGAAAGAACGTAAAGCTGAAAATCCTATATCATGGAGGGAGAATAGTTATAAAGTCATTGTTTACCTCTTTTATGACAAAAAAAAGGGATCACAAGTTTAGTTTCCTAAATGAAATAATTCTATAAACCAACGAAAGTTAAAAAAACAAAAAATGAAGAAAATCAACTGTCTTTGAGGATATTTTTTTCCGCTTTCTTGTTTTGTTAGACACGACCGTTTAAAATATTTGATCCGTGCATCTTGCAAGGTCCAGAAAAAAATATATATATTTGTATTTATACTTCGAAGGAATTTCTAGTAACTAAGTGCATAAAATATAAGGGGTAAAGTTATATTACTAATACTTAAAGTAACAAATAACAAAGAAAAAATATATATTTAATATACGCCTTAATGATATGGAGAATCAAATTTATCATCTTCCCACTTGAATTATTTTCTCTAGCAAAAGTTTCCTGCAAAAACATTTCCCGGAATATCTCTCTTATGTGATTGAAAGACAACTTTTTTTGTCTTTTTAAATTCTCTCACGAGTTCTGGTCCTCCGTTTTCTTTTTGGCTCGTCGTAATCCGTTTTCTTTTCGTTCGCCGTAATCCGTTTATTGTGTTTGTTTTAATTCGTCATAGTTTGTTTTCTTTATTTGTTTGTTTTTATGATCCAGTTTATTATCGTGCGTCATAAATCGTTTGTTATAATCTATTTTCTTTTTCTGTTCATCATAATCTTACGGATCCAGTCTCTTTCGCGAAAATGATCGATGTCGTAATGCACTTTCATTTAGTTTTGTCCCTTTATAAAACTTTCATGTTCTCGTCTTGTTACGATTCGTGGAAGCAAATCTGCACATGTTCTTTAGCGACTTCTAACCCGGTAAATGCTTCACATAACTTCACCCTGCACTTACTTCAGAAACACGAAAAAAAAACTCTCTCTCTCTCCCTTTGTCTCTCTCTCTCTCTCTCTCTCTCTCTCTCTCTCTCTCTCTCTCTCTCTCTCTCTCTCTCTCTCTCTCTCTCTCTCTCTCTCTCTTTTCTGATGTCTATTCACAAGTCTCGTCTGACCATTTGCACAAAAGCTTGTTTATTTATATATTACTTCAAAAGCCAGTTATATCCTGGTAAATGCTCCACATAACTACACCTTGTTCTTGCTTTCCCGAAACAGAAAACCATTTTTTTCTCTCTTTCTATCTTTTGCTATCTCTTCAAACACGGCCTTGTCTGACCATTTGCATTAAGGGTTATCTATTTATTTATTACAAACGCTGGTTATATATGCATGCAAAAAACGATTCAAAAAGACATTCTTTACTGCACGTCTTCATCCCCGTGGATATGCTAATTAGTATAGACACATTCAATGCAATATTGTCGGGGTAAAATATGCAAAGTGGTTTAGACGAATATATATTTTTTTAAAAGTCATAATAATAACAAACTGAAAAAGGAAGACTAAGATATACATATAAGAAAGAAAGAAAAAAACTTTATTAGACATAAGAAGAGAGAGGAAAGAAATATGTACGATAGAAATGGAGAAAGACAAATCTGGAATTAATAAAACGAAAGAGTGAAAGACGAAGAAAGAAACACAGACCAGAAAATGATAATCTGCGGAACGTTGGACTAATAAAAGGAAAATAACTGATGACTCTCAAGGGGAACTGAAGATGAAAAGCGATGAAGGATATTGATGGAGAAATGTCTCTCTGATAACTATATTGAATAACTGTGAAGGTGAAATAAGTATGGAAATATAAAATAAAGAGATAAAGGCGATAAAAATGTACAGGGAAATAGAGATGAATGAATGATTAAAGAGATGATGGAATGTTCATGCAAATGCAGAGGAACGTGATAAGAAAGTGAAAGAAATATACTTTAATATAAGAGATAATTGAAGATACGACACGAATAAACTGAAATAATAATTTTAAAGACTAATAGATGAGGACTTAACCCCCCCCCCGCGCGCCTTTGCCACTAGTTGCAATCCGAGAAAATTATCGACTATTGCATGACTTAAGTGTGCAAGAAAAAACAAACTTACGTCATGTGAAGGATTTGTTTTAAAAAAATGAAAACAAAACAACGAAAGGGAGAACAAGAAAATACACGAAT